GAATATATTGTGCTCACTGCAGCTATCATATTGTAGAAACTTGCAGCATTAGTCATAGTAACAAAAACTGAAAACAACCCAAATATCCAGGAACATTAGAATAAACAAAGTGTACTACATTCAATAATAGAATACTATATAGCAATTAAAGTAAAAAACTACTGCTATACACAGCATAATGAAAAGCAAAAGAAGTCACATGCACACAAAAAATACATACTGTAGAATTCCATTCATATAAAGTTCAAGCTTAGGCAAAATTAATCTAGATTAATCTAGTACTAGAATTTCTGGTAGTAGTTACCTTTGAAAAGAAGGGTTGCAGTAGTGACTTGGAGGCTCCTCGAGTGCTGGTAATGTTACATATCTTGGTTACAGAGAGTGGTGACTTTGTGAAAATGCACATTTATGATTTGTGTTCTTTTCTGCATTCATGTTATAATTTAATGGTTTATTTTATGGTAAGTTGAAATAAGTGGACTCCATCTTGTTTCTCCCACTGAAAGCAGATCTGAAACCTGAACAGGGTGCCTGAAGCAGCTACATAAAAACTCTAAAAGGTAACACAAGCAGAGTAGGAAGACTGCGGGGGGAGGGGAAACACCATAAAACTGATTGTGGGCTCATCATTTTCCCCCTGTTATCCACCAGTCTGGTGTCAACACAGCCTGTATCCTAGAGGTGAGCATTGTGCAGACAGAGTATACTCCAGGAGAAGCCCTCTAGTTCTAGCTTAAGAAATGGAAAGGATCTCTAACATATCGGCCTCTTGCACTCTCTTCCTCAATGCATCCTGGGACTGTGGTAACAGCAACAGCTGCAATAAGAGAGACCCTCAGGAACCCAAAATTCTGATGAAGGAGAGAACCTTACTCTCTGATTAGAGGACTTGTAGTTCCAAAAGACAGGGGCAAAGCATCATTACTTTGTCTCTCTCTCTCTCTCTCTCTCTCTCTCTCTCTCTCTCTCTCTGTGTCCTCCCACCACTTGGCCCCATCTGAAGGAACAGTCACAAGAAGTTAATCAGAGTGGGATAAAGCTCCAGATTTCTGGCCAAAGTACCAAAACAGGGAGTTCCAAGGAACTGAAAAGTGCTAGGGAGATCACAGAGAGGAAGGAGCTTGGGAAAGAATTTTGTAAAGTTGTTTATGAACTACTGAACTCACCCCTGGGCATGTGTAATTCTGACATAAAACAGTATATCATAGATTTCAAAAACTGTACCATGGGATAAATTATTGCCCTGACCTCATGTTGGCCCCTGAGTGATACACACATAGGATAGATATGGAAGGTATGTCAAAGGCTTGGGAAATGGAACTGACATTGAAATCATAACCCACAGAAGACTAGGCAGAATTTGTAGCTTAATCCTAACTAGGTGACTGCTGCTAAAATAAAAAAATAAATAAACATTTTCCATATAACTTTAAATAAACAAGACCCAAAGCTTTACTGCATGTATTCTAAATGTCCAGGATTCAACCCAAAATTACACTTGAAGAATTAGGAAAAAAAAATTTCAACTTGAGTGGAACAAGACAATTAGATGACACAGATGATGAAATTATCCAACAATGACTTTTTGGTAGTTATCATTAAAATGCCTCACGAATTAATGGTGAAGACACTTGAAATAAATGGAAAGATAGGAAGTCTTACTAAAGAAATACAAAATATGATGAAGAATCAAATGGAACTTTGAACTTGAAAAATATACTAACAAATAAAAAACTATATGTATGTGCTTCAGAGAGCAGGATATTGAACATGACCAATTAAAGAGTCAACGAACTTGTAGCTAGGTCAATAGAAAATTACCTAATCTAAATAAGAGAGAAAAAAGCTTAGGAGAAAAAAATTAACAGAGCCTCTGGGGCCTGTGGGACAGTATCAGAAGATCTAACACTCAGATCATCATAGAAGAGACTATTGCATAAAAAGCAAGTATTTGAAGAAATAATTCCTAAGCACCCCTCAAATTTGGCTAAAGTTATAAATTTATAGATTTAAGAAGCTTAGTTAACCCTAAACAGGGTAAACTCAAAGGAATCAATATCCAGACATGTCATAATCAAACTGCTAAAAAGTAAAGACAAAGAAAAAAATATCAAATGCAACCAAAGAAAACTGATGTATTACTTACAGGGAAACAATTTATTTGCAAGACTGCCAATTTCCCATAAGAAACATTGAAGCCGGAAGGAAGTGGAATATTTTTTATGTGGGAAATCTACTACAAACCTAGAATTCAGTATGCAGAGAAAATATCCTTTAGGAATGAAGGTGAAATGAGGATATTTTCAGGTTAAAAAAAAAAAGACATTTTTTGCCAGCAGAACTGCTGTTAAACAAGAGCAAAAAATACTTATGAATTTTTTAAGTAAAAAATACTTCAGACAGAAGTTCTGTCTGAAGAACAGAAGAGAAAGAATACCAGAAGGAAGTGTGGAATGTTGGAAAAGAAGAAAGAACAATGGAATTAAAACATTTGTATAAATACAGTAGGCTACTATTTTCACATTGTTTAAAATATATTTAATGGTTGAAAGAAAAAATAAAATTATCTTGAGGATATACATCTCACATACATGAGTGTGTGTATGAGAGACAGAGAGAGAAAGAGAGAGCTACTCAATCCAAAAGAAAGAAGGGAATGTGAATAAAAAGGAGAGGGCACAAACAGAAAGTAAAATATTTGCTCTAAATACAAATATCATTACATTAGCTGCAAATGGTCAAAACATACCAATCAAAAGACAAAGATCAACAGTATCGATTTTTTAAAAAAAGACCTAACTATATGATGTCTACAAAAAATGTATTTAAAACACAATGACTTAAGTATGTTAAAAGTAGTATAGAAAAAGACACACCCTGCAAACACTAATAAAATGACAGCTGGAATATCTAGAGCAATATCAGAAAAAATTGACATTAGAACAGAGAAAATTACCAAAGATGAAAGGACACTACATAATGAAAACATCAATTCACCAATAGGACACAAAAAGTATTAAACAAGTATGTACCAAACAGAGCTTCAAAATACATGAAGCAAAACTGACAGGCTGAAAAAAGAAATAGAAAAATCCATAATATTTGGAGACCTAATCACCCCTCTCTCAGTAATCAACAGATCTAGTAGACAGAAAATCAGCAAGAATATGAAAGAACTAAGTAATGGTATTGTTCAACTAAATTGAATTGACATTTAAAGGACATTCCGTCCAACAGCAAAATACACTTTTTTCTAAGTGCACATGGAACATTCACCAAAGTAGATTATATGCTGATTAGATAATAAACTTTAATAAATTTAAAAGAATTGACATCATACAATATATATTATTCAACAGTAGTATTAGAAAAATAGCAAAGATAATGGGAAAATCCTCAAAAAGCAGCAAATTAAACAGCACAATCCCAAATGATGCACAAGTCAAAGGAAATATCAAGGGAAAATATAAAATATTTTGAACTGAAGAAAAATGAAACTATCAAAGTTTGTGAGATGAAACTAAAGTCGTCATTCTTAGATGAGTATTTATAGCATTACATTATATTAGAAGAAAGATCTTGGCCAGGCACAGTGGCTCACGCCTGTAAGTCCAGCACTTTGGGAGGCCAAGGTGGGTAGATCACCTGAGATCAGGAGTTTGAGACCAGCCTGGCCAACATGGTGAATCCTTGTCTCTACTAAAAATACAAAAATTTGCTGGGAATGGTGGTGGGCACCTGTAATCCTAGCTACTTGGGAGGCTGAGACAGGAGAATTGCTTGAACCTGGCAGGTGCAGTGAGCTGAGATTGCAACACTGCACTTCAGCCTGGGCAACAGAGCAAACCTCCATCTCAAAAAAAAAAAAAAAGGTCTCAAAACATAGTATAAGCTTCTACTCTAAGAAACAAAAGAAAAAGCTAAATCTCTAAAGCAAGCAAGCAGAGGGAAAGAATCAATAAAATTGAAAACAGTAAAACAATAAAGAAAATGAATAAAACCAAATGATGTTCTTTGCATCCAGAATGTGTAAAGAACTCTCAGAATTCATTAAGAAAACAACCTAACTTAAAATGGGCAAAAGAATTGAACACTTTACCAAAAAGGATATATGTGGATAGCAAATAAACACAAGAAAATATATTCAGCGTCATTAGCCATTAGGGAAATGCAAATTAAAACCATGCTGAGTTATTACTACATACCTATTAAAATGGCTAATGAAAAATATTGATAATACCAAGGGCTAGCAAGGATATGGAACATTACTAGCACAAAACTGAACAGCCATCTTGGAGACAGTTTGGTACTTTTTTACAAAGTTAAACATATACTTACCATATAACCCAGCAATCCTATTGCTACATATTGATCCTGGAGAAACAAAAACTTACATTCCTACATAATCCTGTACCTGAATGTTTATAATAGCTCTATTTACGAATGCTCCAAACTGGAAACAACCCAAATTTCCTTGAAGGAGTGAAGTGGTAAACAAATGGTTATACATCCAAGTAACAAAATATTCGGTAATAAAAATGAATGCACCATTGATATATGCAACAATTGGATAAGTCTTAAAGGCATACTGTCAGTCTGTTTATAAGAATAACCCAATCTCAAATAGACAAAATTACAGTGATAAAGAGGATGAGTGATTGCCAGTGGATGAAGGTAGGGGAAACTTGTAATTATAAAGAGATACAGCATGAAGGAGTTTTGGGAGATGATGGAATTGTTCTGTATCCTGATATGGTGGTGGTTACATGAATCTATACATAATATTAAGATTTATGTGTACCAAACTGTATATCAAAAGAAAAGATCAATTTTACTACATGCTAATTTTTAAAATAAAATTAATATAAATCAGGAAAATTTTTAAAGTTTTCTTATAAAATGTAGGTTACAAACTTCCCCAAGAATGACTTCAGTATCTAGGTTACAACAATGGCTAATCTGATCACACACGAAAACCAGGAAGATAATGATATACTCACCACTGCTTGCCCCTCTACAGTTTCCATTACTAGAATCCATAGGAAAATCTGAAAGGAGGTGATAGAACAAAGAACCTATAACATATTTGTTTTATTTCAAGAATTCCTAAAGATAAAAATCTAACTAAATTACAAGTTTGGTTTGGGTAAGAATCCAAGGAAGTAGATTCTTATTAGCATCATGAGGTTGGCATTCTTATCATTTGTGGGTTGAATATGGATGAGATCTATTTTTTTCATGACTCCAATTCAGTACTTTTATGTAAGAGTTTTACATTTGTAGTAAAACTTTATGCTAAATTAGTTTAATGCCTCTTTTTATTCTAAGAGAAAATAGTATTCTTCCTTTGTCCTTTTTGTTTATAGGTCGTATTAGGAATAAATTAAATGAGGGGTTAATACTGTTTTAGGACAATAACACCCACAATTACAATTAATGTATTACTTTCCCAGGTTTAGTAATCATCAGCAAATATTTAAAAAGCAATATCCAAGAAAAGATAGCAGTTAGCAAACAAACAGATAAGCAGGTAACAAACACTAATTCTAAAACATTTGGCTCAACTTGGGCATAAACTATTGATTACTAATACTTTCATTATATTCAAACATTTATTCATGATAAATGTACCCAAGCATTAGATTAACGTGCGAGTAGTTTTTCTATTTCTGAATAATCAAGTGATAAAATTCATACAAAAATAATGTCTTTATAAAGGAAGAAATTATGTTGGCCTACATTTGAAATGTTTATTGTTTAAAGGATGAAATAAGAGTGAAAAATAAAACTTTGCTTGGTAAAAGAGAATCACTTCAAAATAGCTAAGCCAAGGAGAATGTTTTACTTCTTTCATTTTTATTTACAGGAAAATGTTTCTACACTTTCACAAATGCTTGGTAGTCAATTGTTAGAACTGTAAGACAGAAAACAAAAATTTTCTAATAATCAAAAATTATTATTGTCAGAAAGTTAAACTTAGGAATTCTACCAACAAATTATCATAAACTAAAATAGAACATATTATTAGTAAGTTTCATGCCCCAGGGTTTTTAGTGGAGATCACAGAGGTTTCCATATGAGTCCTAAGGAGTTAGGAAATGTAGGGAGAGTTTTCTAGATAGAGAATAGCACTGAAAACATACTTAGGTGAGAAGCCTGCAAGTGTGACTGAAACAGAAAACAGTGTAAACAGAGAGAAACAAGCTAGAGAAGTCGGAAGGGTGAGATCACACAGGCCAGAGGCAGATACCAAAGGATTTTAAGCAAGAGATTTGCATTTTAGAAAAAAATATACATTGGAATATAGAGGGGAAACACTGGAGATAAGAGAGACCATTACCATCCTATGGCCATAATCTGGGTGAGAAATGGTGAGGTCCAAATTTAGAAAGTAGGATGAGAGAGAGAGGGAAGGGAATTTAAATCAGACTAGACCCAACAGCATGTGATACCTGTTGAGTGAGGGGAATGAGGAACAGGATAGAATGAAGACTGCCTCCCACAGCCAGGTGTGGTGGCTCACACCTGTACTCTCAGCACTGGGAGGGCAAGGTTGGGCAGATCACCTGAGGTCAGCAGTTTGAGACCAGCATAGCCAACATGGCAAAAACCTGTCTCTAACAAAAATACAAAAATTAGCCTGGTGTGGTGGTACATCTGTAATCCCAGCTACTCGGGAGGCTGAGGCAAGGAGAACTGCTTGAATCCAGGAGGCGGAGATTGCAGTAAGCCAAGATCCTGCCACTGCACTCCGGCCTGGGCAATAGAGTGAGACTCCAACTCAAAAAAAAACAACTGCCTCCCTCTCAACAATAATATAGAAATATAGAAAATACTAGAAAGATGTGTATGCTGGTGGGGAAATGATGAGTTCACTCTGGGGCATGCTGAGACTGATGACTAGGGACTAGACATAAGCATCTGCGATGTATAATCTCTACTATCTCAAAATTGCAGTGAAGCCAGAATCTCTTATCCCTTTGAATCCATTGTCTAGATGCCACCTTTTATTCTCTTAAGCCATATATAAATGGGCTTCAAAATAAATGAAAAAAACCATTGTTCCTTTAACTGCAATCTGCTAGGCAAAGAATAACAGATTCTCTAGAAAGTTCAGAATTAGGTTTCTCAAGGGAGGAAGTGTAGTGTAGAACAGGTTCTGCTTTGAATTCTGTTTTTCTTACTAGCTCTACTGACTTGGACAGTCACCTAGCTTCTCTATATGCCTTGGCTTCCTTTTCTCCAAAATGGGAATAATAGCACCTACCATGCACTCATGAAAATTAAGTGAACGGGCATAATGTACTCAGGACAGCACCTAGAAAGGAAGTGTTGGTAGCTTTTCTTCTGTTGCCAATGGTTCCTGTCCTGAGGATGACACATCTTCTCCCCAATGACGTTGTTGTGAAACATTTATATTGTGCTTTCCCATTTATCAGTATCTTCATATTAGTATTTCTTTTGTTCTTCACAGTCATCTCAAGTGACCACTTCAATGTACAAAATTCATGGCAAATCTAGAATTCCAACTAAGGACCTGTAACTCTAAAACTGTGGTTTTCTCTAAATTGAGGAGACGTAGCCAATTCTTAATTATTCAAAACTATGTCCATCTGTTGGTTCTTGGTCTGCTCATTCTAGACACCAAGTAGAACTACAAGAGCCAAATATAACCTAGCCAGTTGTGCAATTTGTAGCAACAACTATATGAAGGTTTAGTGGGAATGAAATAAAAAGTAAACTATTAAAATAAGATTTGGAGACTACATAAGATTACATTATTCCTGATAATAGGGGTTGCTCTAAATAAAGTTAAACACTATTAATATAACACTGAGGTACTCTTCCCTAACCCATCCAGAGTGCCTTTTAATGTTTTACACCAGGAAGGATCCTCAGAAGCATGTTTTCTCTTTAATCCTAATCTAAAATTTCCATTTCTCCTTTCCATTTTCCTCCTCATATCACACTAAATAATTCTTCCTTCTTGGCACTTGGCCCCTCAAATATTTGTAGACCAGGGCTAAAGAAAAGACTGCCTGTTTCTCTGAGAGTGGAGAAATGCTTAAATGGCAGCTCCTGCATGTGAAAGTTGGCACGGCTCTGCCAGGAGAGAGAAGGCCTGCAGAAATGTGTTGAGCAAAAGCTGGTCTGCCACGGAAGCCAGCACTGACTGAGGAGTGATTATAAAGCCCTTGGCACGGCAAACTGTAGGTGTTGTAGAAATAGCTGTGAAATATCATACCATACATTTTCCTAACTGCTTGATTCCTGGGTTTCTGAGATAAATTATTTGTAATTAACTTAGCCACCAGACTTATTCTTTTTTCTGTTGCTCCCAAAGGGATCTGCCCTTGAGCCTGAGGTCTAGGTCAATTTGTATAAAATGAAATATTAACTTTATATATTTAGAAGAAATAAGATCTGTTTTTTCATTTAAGTTCCAGTATAAAGTTTTTTTTTAATTTTTTTTCCCCCAGGAGATGAACTAATACAAGTTCTAGGCTGCATCTGTATTTACCAACATATTCATTTCAAAAAACAAAATAGGAAATGTTAGTCAATTTGTTTTGACAGTGATAACAGTAAAACAGCAGCAGCAATTTTTTCAGTGCTTGCTAGGTACTAAACGCAATGCTTTATATGCGGTTTAATTTTTTTCTTTGCCTTGTTTTTCTTGAGAGAAGAGTCTGGCTCTGTAGCCCAGGCAGGAGTGCAGTGGCGCCATCTCAGGTCACGGCAACCTCTACCTCCTGAGTTCAAGCGATTCTCCTGCCTCAGCCTCCTGAGGAGCTGGGATTACAATCATGTGCCACCATGCCTGGCTAATTTTTTGTATTTTTAGTAGAGATGGGGTTTCACCATGTTGGCCAGGCTGGTCTCCAACTCCTGACCTCAAGTGATCCACCCACCTCGGCCTCCCAAAGTGCTGAGATTACAGGAGTGAACCACTGCACCCGCCTTAATTTCATCTTTACCATGCTCTTGGGATGTAGATAGTTTTGTCCTGATTTTATAGATAAGAAAACTTTGAATTACAGAGGTCATATAATTTTCCTATAACAGTTGATGTAGGAGGCAGAGTCATTCAACACCTGGTCAGCCCACTCCAAGCCCATCCTCTTTACTCACCACACAATATTAACGACTTGACTGAATATCATCACTAACTTGCTGAATGACTAAAGTGAGCTAAGTTTTCAAATAATCTGTAGTCACACTGTAGCAAAAATAAAATGTGTAATAATAATAATGGCCGGATGGAACCCATTCTTTATGAAAATATGTTTACCCTTAGTATTTTGAAAGCAAAATGTCATTTCAAGTATTACACCATTTCAATAAGACTGCTTTGTAAAAGGTCCTAAGCTTGTTTGTGGAGTCATGATGCACTATAAGAGAACAGATCCCCACAAATGGTAGGATTTGAAAATCCTCTTGGCATTGAAAGAATGTGAAAGATTGTCCCATTTTCAGGGAGAACTCATTTTTATATCTAGTTGTACTGATACTAGTCAAAAGACACAGGGATTCTCTTCATACCCAAATAAAGAATGAAAAAAAAAAAAAAAAAACCTGCTTCATGAACTGTCACATCCCACTGAACCAAAGGGTATATTGGAAATTGCATTGTAAATTATACTGGCCACATGTGGTAGTTCCTAAGTAATTCCAGGTGTCTGACAGTTTGACCCAGCATAGGGAAAGTAATTTTCAACAAGCTGGCCCTGGAAGCCAGGAGAACCTTGAGGCTACAATCTACCCATTTCATTCCCAATTTCCACCTCCCCCCACCCTTCAGCTCCCCCAGCCACCACAGTCTCTGAAGCTTATGGAAGAAGACAGGGACACCATCACTAAATATGATTCCAACTACCACCTATTTTTCTAGCAAGGATGCTGTCAGAAAGGAAATATTCCCGCACTTTAAAGCAGTTCAGAAATCAGGTCTTATGAACTGACACATTGTTTCCATGCATGTCCTATTTGAGTACTTCAATGAGGCAACTGTTCCATGTTTGTTTCAGTGATTGGTAACTCAGGGACATTTAATGAAACTGCTTCCCATCTTTACTGACTATGGCTTTTTGAGAGCCATTAACCTTGCCAAACCTCACTCACTCTAGGTCCACCTCTAAGGGAGGTTTAAGAGCAAGTTTTGTCCTTTAAGGTAAATTAAAGGGTGGGGGGGGGGATGCATTTCAGCTTGAACCACTGCTACCTGATTCCTAGCACTTGGCCTGGGAGAAGCACCTGCGTTTAACTGATTCAAAGTGCCTGGCAAACCAGAGGGGCAACTGTGCTGGACTCTTCCAGACTCTGCAGTCTGTGACTTTAGTGAGTACTCAGGCTCAAGCATGCTCTTTTAGCAAACAGTAATAAGAAATACATTTCTGTGATAATTCTACAAAATCAGCTTTTGGTTCTTGATTAAAATCAAGAAGACAATAGGTATATTCAAAAAGTGATAAATTAAGTGAGGTCACCATCAAAAAGTTCTTGAAATCTTTTTTTTTTTCCTTCAACTGTTTTTACAATTACTTCTACTTCTCTCACTTTGTTAAATGAGTCAATAGTCAATGTGCACAGTAATTTTTTCAAACCAATTCCCTGATAACTAAGAATTACTACCTAGAAATGGACTGGGGACATGAGCCTAGACTGTGCAAGTTGAATGAGGAAGGACAGTTGATGCCCAAGAAATAAACAGATGAAGGCAACCAAATCAACACATCTAAGAACAGAGTTGATCTGGAGGGTGGGGTATGAAAGAGGACCACTAGTGAAAAAAATTGCCTTATTTGTAAAATATGTGAAGGGTAAAACTTGAGGTTTGGGTTAGCTGGTAGAAGCAACACTGAGTTAGAATTAAATGGACCATAATGAAGTAGGTTTATTTGGAGTCTTAGAGTTATGAATGTCATAATTAGACTAAACACTAGTGAGAAAACAACTTGTGATTGATTCCATTAAATTTAGAACTGCAATAAAGTTTTATGATAGGTAAAGACTGAAATAGCTGTGTGGTTGGTGCACACACAGAAAAGAAGCATGAAATAAGGTCTTAAAGACAATTTTTTGTGTGCAAAACATGAGAGTGGAATAAGGGGTGAGATTTAAAATAACATGTGAGTGAATGATGATAGCACACCTTAAATATAACTCCTTTCATCTGTATGCCACTTATAAAATGACTTGAAGGCATGTGAAAATAGCCCAGTAATTTCAGTCTGCGAGCTCTATGGCTGGAGCAAGCCACAGGAGCTAATTAACAGTACAATGTTTCACAGCTGTTTCATTCCGGAATGGAAGAACAATTTATCTCATTGAATGGAAGGGAAAATTTAAGGTGAAGGTAATTGCTCAAATTGGATCTTGAGCAAACACATACGCCTAACATCTGTCGGTTGGAGTAAGGGTTATTGAAATTATCTCGGCATTTTTAATTAGAAGAAAATGGGGCTTCAGTTTTCTGTTTCTTCCATACAATCTTAACAAGCAGCTAAAACGCTTAAGATATAGAAGCCTGATGACTGAGATTGCCTGAGAATCAGGAAAGAAAACCCAATGACTATAAAAACCAATTGTAAAAGAAAAGAGCATCACTTTGCAAAATGTGGCTACTTCCACGCGTAAAGAGTTGAAGTGAAGGATTCTTGTGGAGTCTAAGTGTGATGGGTGTGGAATGCACGATGTGCTTTAGAAAGAGAACAGAGTGCAAGAGTGCATCAGTTTGGAAGGTGATGAGGTGAGGTTTTTTGTTTTGTTTTGTTTTTCAAGAAAGAAGGCCGAAGAAGAGTGTTTGATAGAGGAGCAGTTAAGGGAGAGTTAAGTGATCCGAAGAGGGAAGAATTAGCGAGTAAAGGCGAGTAACAAGGACTCCAAGAAGTGAGGGGGCTGGAAGGTAACGGGAAAGCGGACCGTGGCAAAACTCACCAGCTCCGTCTGCAGTGACGATGGCCTCGGGAGAGATGCACACGCCCCGGTCGTACACTGGCAGCTCCTCGCAGGCTAGGTTCTCCGGCCACGAGTGGCGGTATTTGATGAGGATGGGCTCGCAGCCCTGCCTGGCCCGCTCGCACACAGACTTACAGGGCTTGATGGGCTCGTGCTGGAAGTCAATGGTGCAGATGGGCGCGTACATGGCACAGAGGAAGAAGAGCAGGTCGGGGCTGCAGTGGGTGCCCAGCAGACCTTCGAACTGCTCGATGGCCAGGATGGCGTTGGCCTGAGTGCTGTGGTGCAGGTGGTTGGGCATCTTGGTCATGTTCCAGGGCAGGGACTTGCACAGGGGGATGCGGACGGGCTCACAGGCTGCAGCCCGAGCCCCGGGCACCCGAAGCAGGCAGAGCGCAGCCAGGGCGAGCAGCCCGGCCCGCAGCAGCAGCATCCTTCCCGGGCTGCCGCAGACCATGATCCCGGCAGGATGGGGCATGGTGCAGCCGCGCAGTGGACGCCTAGAGGCCCGCTCCGCCGTCTCCGCCTCCCCGCTGCAAGTGGACACAGGGATCTGGGAGCCTCTCCTCCCCCGGCAATCACGGGCTTCCTTGGATCAAATTCCCCCAATGGGGTCCCACGAGCTTTACCGAGCTCCAGCCGCCGCCCCTGCCGCCCAGGCTGCTCTTTCCCAAAGTCTAAGCCTTCGGAAGCGGCAACATCTACTTATTCCTCTCCCTCTGGCAGAAGCATCAGACTTCGCAGATCAATCAGATATGAGGGACACGAGAGGAGGCGAGGAAGACAGAAAAACAAAACAAGAATTCAGTTGAGAAACAGTCGGAGCTCTGGGGTGTCACGTCCCCTAGATCACGCACACAAAATATCCTAAAGAAAGCACGAAATTCTCCGAAGTCAAGGGGACAGAGGGGTTGAGGGGAAGGAGTGAGGAGAAGCTCCTAACGGGAGAGAAGGGTGCAGTAAGAGTTTGCAAGTCCTGTGGGCTAAGAAGATCTAATTCTCCGTGTGAGCGGCAGCCGCCACTGGGGCTGCCACCCGGGCTGGCAGGAGGGACGCGCGGGAGGAGCCTCGCCGGGAGGTCTGTGCCTCGGTCCCCGCGGCTCCGAACTTTCCCACCTCTGGCCGGAGAAGGAGCTCCGCCCCTGGGGCAGTCTCTGCCCTCCCACGCCTGCTGCTCTTCCCGAGAATGGAGCGGGCGTCCGGAGAGGGAAGGCCTGGGGGGTCAGGGGCGGTGGGGGCGCGAAGCCGTGCGAAGCGGTGGGAGTGCGAGACTTCAAGACAGCGCCAGCGCTGTGTCGAGCTCCGCCGTCACACCTGGGAACCTGACTTCAGTCCCAGATATGAGCTCCTAGCCCCTCACTAAAAAGCCCGCTCCAATTCCCTACGGAAACGTCCTCGTACTTTCCTACTCGGGAACCCACCCGAGACCCTCCTTCCTGGAGGTATTTCGTTTAAGCGAACTCTAGCTTTACCTCTGCGATCACTGGCTCTGCAGGAAGTCAGACCTGTCGGAGGAAAGGCTTAAGTAATGTCACTTTGTCCAAGTGGCGGAAAAACACAGACCCCTCCGAGCAGCGGCGGAGCCTTATCAACCCAGAGCTAGTGACTACAGAGGTCTGCTTTTTCAGTAACTGTGGGGGAGGAGGTGGGGGAAGGATTGCCTTTCATTAAAAAAAAAAAAAAAAGGAAAGGAAGATGCTGCGCAAGATTACAAATAGAACACCAGAAGAAGCACGGAACAGGTTTTTTTCTTCTGTTTTTCTCCCCATTGGAATTAGAACTTTTGAATTTTGCTCCTTAAGCTTTAAGTGGAAACTAACAGTTCTAATGCACTTGGAGATTTTTTTTTCTCAAGAATAAAACAGCAGATCTTATCTGCTAATAACTCTTCTCAGCAACAACTTTGTCCGACATTTGAGAAAAAAAAAAGTGTAGGAAAACGATATCACGCAGGTAATGATGATTATAACAACAGTCAAACCCTTTCCATCCAGATGAGTTCAATCTGGAAGAGAAAATGGAAAACAGATCCCCTCCTGCTCTGCTCCTTTCACTAATGAGCCCGCTCTCCTCCCCACCCCCCGCAACCCTTCCCTTCCAGCTTATATTGTAAATGGCATGACCTGCAGAGACCCTTGCACTATGCCCTCTCAATGGGAAATCACTGAGCAAAAGGATTGCCTAATGTCAGAAGACACAGCCTTCATTGAGAGGAGAAAGAAACAAACCCTGAAACCAAACAGGAAGTCACTTTTGCTCTGCATCACTGAAATACTTCTCTGCATTAATTCAGCAATCTCTCACCGTCCATAATAAGCAGAGAAAATATGTCCCCACTCAGAGCACGCAGTGAGATGCGCGTTTCCATTCCCTAGAGTGGCTTGACGGCACTGATAAAATGTCAATGCTAACTTGAGTTATGGAATTTTATCTCTAAAATGACCATAAAGAGCAGTTTGTGACTGCAGTAAATTTCTTTGGAAGGAAGTCAGTTCCACTTATGAAGGGGGGGCGGAACCACCATATGGTAGACAAGGAGTCAGTTAGTATACAAGCTTTGCCTGGTCTACAATTACCCAGTGTCATGTAAGAGAACAAAGTCAAAAATTGTACAAATGAAGTTAAAAAATGATTTATCAAGTAAAATTTAGAGGAAAAACAACTTTAAACACAATATTAGAGCATTTTGGGGCTATTCTATATAAGGAAAATATAGCTGAGATTTTCAATAAATTCGAAAAAAACATCAGGAGTAGATGCAATAGATTGTTTGCTAAATACATTTTTCTGTTCATCTTTTTTTTTTTTTTTTTTTTTTTTTTTTTTTTTTTTGAGACATAGTTTTGCTCTTGTTACCCAGGCTGGAGTGCAATGGCGCGATCTCGGCTCACTGCAACCTCCGCCTCCTGGGTTCAGGCAATTCTCCTGCTTCAGCCTCCTGAGTAGCTGGGATTACAGGCACGCGCCACCATGCCCAGCTAATTTTTTGTATTTTTAGTAGAGACGGGGTTTCACCATGTTGACCAGGATGGTCTCGATTTCTCGTGATCCACCCACCTCAGCCTCCCAAAGTGCTGGGATTACAGGCTTGAGCCACAGCGCCTGGCCTTTTCTGTTCATCTTAAGTCTTACAGTGTGAGAAGAAATGTGCCGATAGTTTTAATGGTTCCACAACTATCTGAAACAAACTCTGTTTTCCTTCCCCTGCACAAAGTCAGCTATCCTCTTTGTCTAATAGCTCCCCTCACAACTTTAATACAAATTTGTTTTTATAAAAACCCAAAATAAATGTCACTGTCTTAAGGAAGCCCTTTTGAGTACCTTGTCTAGTTGTGTTCATTTTTCTGGTTAGTTACCCTTGAACAGTGTTTGTTTTTACAAACTATTCTTTTTTTTTTTTTTTCTTTGAGATGGAGTTTTGCTCTTGTCGCTCAGGCTGGAGTGCAGTGGTGTGATTTCTGCTCACCACAACCTCCGCCTTCCAAGTTCAAGCGATTCTCCTGCCTCAGCCTCCCTAGTAGATGGGATTACGGGCACCCACCACCACACCCGGCTAATTTTTTTTTTTAATTTTTAGTAGAGACAAGGTTTCACCATGTTGTCCTGGCTGGTCTGGAATTCCTGACCTTAGGTGATCCACCCACCTCAGCCTTCCAAAGTGCTGAGATTACAGGCGTGAGCCACCATGCCTGGCCTACAAACTATTCTTTGGCACCTGCCAATTACTTAAAAAAAATTTATTTTTTCGTCTGAGCATGCTCTGTTTTCCTAAATATCATGTATGATTTTTCAAAGAAGAGAATTCATCTTTAGTTTCTCTTGAAATAAGATTTGAGAATGTTAGCTGATGGAATTTGGAATGCAATATATATATTCCTTTTAATATCAATAGTTTTGGGGGTACAAGTGGTTTTTGGTTACATGAATAAATTGTATGGTGTTGAAGCCTGAGATTTTAATGCACCTGTCACCCAAGTGTACACTGTACCAAATATGTAGCTTGTTATCCTTCATCCTTTTCCCAAGGTCCCCACTTGTGAGTCTCCAAAGTCCATTATACCACTCGAAGTTATGCCTTTGTGTACCCATAGCTTTGCTCTCATTTATAAGTGAGAACATATGGTATTTTGTTTTTCATTCCTGAGTTACATCATCTAGTATAATGGCCTCCAGCTCCATCCAAACAGCTGCAAAAGACATTATTTCATTCTTGTTCATGGCTGAGTAGTATTCCATGGTGTGTGTGTGTATACATACATATATATAACATTTTCTTTATCCACTTATCAGTTGATGGACATGGATACTTAGTTCTTAGTTCCACATCTTTGGTTGATGGGCACTTAGTTTGGTTCCATATCTTTGCAATTGTGAATTGTGTTGCAATAAACATGCATGCAGTTGTCCATGTGACATATTGATGTATATTCTCTCGGGTAAATACCCAGTAGTGGGATTGCTGGATCAAATTGTAGATCCAGTTTAGTTCTTTGAGAAATCTCCATACTGTTTTTCATACAGGTTGTACTAATTTACATTCCCACCAGCAGTGTATAAGTGTTCTCTTTCACCACATCCACACAAACATCTTTTGCTTTTGTTTTGCTGAGATAGTCTTGCTGTATTACCCACCCTGGAGTGCTGTGGCGTGATCTCAGCTCACTGCAGCCTCCACCTCCAGGGTTCAAGCGATTCTCCTGCCTCAGCCTCTTGAGTAGCTGAGACTATAGGTGCACACCACCATGCCCAGCTAATTTTTGTATTTTTAGTAAAGACAGGGTTTCACTATGTTGGCCAGCTTGTCTCGAATGCCTGACCTCACTCCACCCACCTCAGCCTCTCTTGGGATTACAGGTGTGAGCCACCGTGCCTGGCCAAGTTTTGCCATGTTTCCTAGGCTGGTCTCAAACTTCTGGGCTCAAATGATCTGCCCACCTTGGCCTCCCAAAATGCTGGGACTTACAAGTGTGAGCCACCACCAAATTATTAATATACCAATACTCTGCTGGGAAAAAAAAATCTATGAATGCCAGATTTGAGGATTTCTAAGGACTCTACACAATGCACATCTGGAGGTAGGAGGCTCTTCCAGAGGTGAGGAGAGCTGTCTGAGAGCTGCAGCATAGCACCCCCAGCACCTAGTTTGGACTATGGGTCAATTCTAGGCTCAACCACTGCTTAGGAAGTGCACCCAGATCCAGCGATGGGCAGCCAAGCTTCTTAGGATGAGTAACGGCACCATGATCATTGGCATTTGGTTTAACTTCCTGACAGGTAGGTGTTCTGTGGCAATGTCAAGAAAAAGATCATGCTAGGCCAAGCACAGTGGCTCATGCCTGTAATCTCAGCACTTTGGGAGGCCAATGCGGGCAGATCACCTGAGGTCGGGAGTTCCAGACCAGCCTGACCAACATGGAGAAATTCCGTCTCTACTAACAATACAAAAAAAAAAAAAAAATTAGCGGGGCATGGGAGCACATGCCTGTAATCCCAGCTATCCAGAGCCTGAGGCAGGAGAATTGCTTCAACCCAGGAGGCAGAGGTTGTGGTGAGCCAAGATTGTGCCATTGCGCTCCAGCCTGGGCAACAATCTCTGCCTCCTGGGTTCAAGCAATTCTCCTGCCTCAGGCTCCCGAGTAGCTGGGATTACAGGCATGAGCCCCCATGCCTGGCTAATTTTTTTTTTTTTGTATTTTTAGTAGAGACGGAGTTTCTCCATCTAAAAAAACAAAAATAAAAAAAAAATATTTACTTTGACATAGCCATATTACCAAAATTCAAATTTGACCAATTTCCCCCTCCCTGCCCCAATTTGCAATGTGTTATTTTGTCAGTAATTTAAATATTCACATTATTTTTTCATCTGTTTAAATAAACTTTAATCCTACCCTAGGTTTGTATTAATAAGACCACCCATATTTTTCCCATAAGAAAATGTGTTTGCAATATACAATTATTATTTGTGAATTAAAAAAATTCTTACATTTTCACAAGCAGAGCTGATATGTAAGATAGTTAACAACTGGTACAGTTGAGCACCATCGAGTCAGAATGGCCCATTCTGTACTATCCAGGTATCAAGGAGCAAGGAATTAGTGTTTATTGAGTACTTGGGAGTACGTTATGTGAGATACATAAACTACTTTTTAAGCCCATAAACTGCACAAGATATTAGTTCTAAAGATGAAGAAAAGAAGGCTCCATAAAATGAAGTTTTCCAAAATTCTCACAGATAGATAAGGGCTTGGCAGAGTAGTATTTGAATCCACGCTCTTTTAACAGTTCTAATATCTGCTTCATAGGCAGAAAAGAACCTGGAAAGGGAAGTAACAGGGATCTCTGTGATCCTGGGTCTCAGCCTGCACACCAATTGTCAGGTATTGGCTCTGCCTTCTTAAGAATAGAAAGATGTCAAGATGTCAAGTCCAGTAAGAAGCTTTGGACTTCAGATGGCGAGACCTTCTTGTTCATAGCCTCTATCTAGGTATTCTACCTAGTAATTTCTTGACTTCTGCTTTAGGAAGAAGATCTTACCCTTTCCGTCTCCAAGCAAACCAATAAAAGCTTCCCAACTGTTCAGTGCAGCAACCTTAGGGCAATGATTCTCAAACTGTATCATGCAGCAGAATCCGCTGGAAGGCTTCTGAAAACACAGGTTGCTGGGCTTCATCCAGAATTTCTGACATAGTAGGTCTGAGATTTGCGTTTCAGATACATTCTCAGGTAATCCTAACACTGCTGCCCAGGAATAACTGGCACGACAGTACAGTACAAGTTTAAGAATCACTCTTTTGAACTCAATATTAAGCTTTGATTTACCTCAAGTAAATGCTTTTCATGCTAAAAAGATTTCATTATTTTATCTCCTTTTATCTTTTATCACAGGAAAATTGGAAACAAAATTTTAATAAAGCAACCTAATAGCTAAATGACTTTCTAAAGTTTGTCTAGATACCTCTACCACTCAAAGGCCATAATAATAGCCCCAGTGAGACTTGACCTTACAATCAGCTGGCCCTCTGACCTTCATGTACTGTCCTGAGGGTCACAGCGTCACTCCACCCCCATTGCAACAGAAGAACGATAGATCCAGCTTCAAAGAAGTTCCAGAAGGAACCTTAGTATCTTACTGGTGGAATGAACCTCAGCAATCTAGTCCCCCGACTTCTTTCACCTCCTAGCCCTCCCCTCCATACCTTAATTTGAAGAGAAGAGTCGAAATAAGATCACTTACCCAAAATCATGAAGTTAATGGCATGTATGGCAGATGCACCCAACAGCAGCAATAACTTAAGCATACCCTGAGAATGGCCCTACAGTCTAAAAACAATGTGTTTTTAGATTAGAGCTGCGACCTAAGGAATTCAAAAGTGGCCAACCCAGAGGTTAATTTCTTATTTATAAGGAACATATGAACCACCACCCCATCCTATGGAACACAGGCCATACAGGGGATTGAAGCTGTTTATTTTGGGTTAAATGAAGGTTTTTCAGGTAGAGGTTCCTAGGGAGAGGGTGCTAAGTAAAAATCTGCATAAACAGCATGCTTTCTACAAATGGTGGTGGTTCTCCTGTCCAGCTCACTGCCACTGGACTACCCTGTATCTAAGTTCCCTCAATAGACTCCATCTCATTTATTGGCTCTGAGTCCCTTCTTTGGCCTCTTGAACATGGTGCCATCCTTACTGAAGTCAATAGGGTCTGGCATGACATGGCAACTCATATGGTTTGGCTGTGTCCTCCCCCCACCCCACCCTCAGCAAATCTCACCATGAATTGTAATCCCCATAACCCCCATGTATCAAGGGCAGGACCAGGTGGAGGTAATTGGATCATGGGGGCAGTTTCCCCCATGCTGTTCTCATGATAGTGTGTGAGTCTCGCAAGATCTGATGGCATTTTCCCGGCTTGCACTCAGTCCATCCTGCCACCCTGTCAAGAAGATGCCTGCTTCTCCTTTGATTTCCACCAAGATTGTAAGTTTTCTGAGGCCTCCCAGGCAATGTGGAACTGTGAGTCAATTAAACCTCTTTCCTTTAAAAATTACCCAGCTTGGGCCAGGTGCAGTGGCTCATGCCTTCCAGCATTTTGGGAGCCTGAGGTGAGTGGATCATCTGAGGTTGGGAGTTCAAGATCAGCCTGACCAACATGGAGAAACCCCATTTCTACTAAAAATAAAAAAATTAGCTGGGCATGATGGCATGTGCCTGTAATCCCAGCTACTCGGTGGCTGAGGCAGGAGAATCACTTGAACCTGGGAGGAAGAGGTTGTGGTGTGCTGAGATTGCACCATTGCACTCCAGCCTGGGCAACAAGAGCAAGACACTATCTCAAAAAAAAAAAAAAAAATTACCAGCATTGTGCTCACTTGGGCAGCACATATGCTAATATTGGAACCATACAGAAAAGATTAGCATGGACCCTGCGCAAGGGTGACATGCAAGTTCGTGAAGCCATCCATATTTTTACAAACAGAAAGGAATAGCAACAACATTAACCAAAAGGACATTCACACAGAAACCCCTTCCAAAGGTCACCAGCATGAAAGACCAAAGGTAGATGAATTCACAAAGATGAGGAAAACCCAGCATAAAATGATGAAAATTCCAAAACCAGAATGTCTCTTCTCCTCCAAAGGATCACAACTCCTTGCCAACAAGGGAACAAAACAGGACAGAGAATGCATTTGATGAACTGACAGAAGTAGCCTTCAGAAGGTATGTAATAGCAAACTCCTCTAAGCTAAAGGAGATGTTCTAACCCAGTGCAAGAAAGCTAAGAAATTTGAAAAAAAGTTAGAGGAGCTGCTAACTAGAAAAACTAGTTTAGAGAAGAAGATAAATGACCTGATGGAGCTGAGAAACACAGCACGAGAGCTTCATGAAGTATAAACAAGTATCAATAACAGAATCAATCAAGCAGAAGAAAGAATATCAGAGATTGAAGATCAACTTAATTAAATAAAGTGAGAAGAAAAGATTAGAGAAAAAAGAATGAAAAGGAATGAACAAAGCCTCCAAGAAATATGGGACTATGTGAAAAGACAAAACTTACATTTGATTGGTGTACCTGAAAGTGACAGGGAGAAGGGAATCAAGTTAGAAAACACTCTTCAGGACATTATCCAGGAGAACTTCCCCAACCTAGCAAGAGAGGCCAACATTCAAATTCAGGCAATACAGAGAACACCACAATGATACTCCTTGAGAAGAACAACCCCAAGATGCATAATTGTCAGATTCACCAAGGTGGAAATGAAGGAAAAAAATGTTAAGGGCAGCTGGAAAGAAAGGCCCATCAGACTAACAGCAGATCTCTGTGCAGAATTCCTACAAGCCAGAAGAGACTGGGGGCCAATATTCAACATTCTTAAAGAAAAGAATTCTCAACCCATTATTTCACATCCAGTCAAACTAATCTTCATAAGCAAAGGAGAAATAAAATCCTTTACAGACAAGCAAATGCTGAGAGATTTTGTCACCATCAGGCCTGCCTTACAAGAGCTCCTAAAGGAAGCACTAAACATAGAAAGGAAAAACCAGTACCAGACACTGCAAAAACATACAAAATCATAAAGACCATCAACACTTTGAAGAAACTGCATTAACTAATAGCAAAATAACCAGCTAGCATCATAACAACAGGCTCAAATTCGCACATAAAAATATTAACCTTAATGTAAATGGGCTAAATGCCCCAATTGAAAGACACAAACTGGCTCACTGGATAAGGAGTCAAGACCCATTGGTTTGATGTATTTAGGAGACCCATCTCACATGCAAAGACACACATAAGCTCAAAATAAAGGAATGGAGGAACATTTACCAAGCAAATGGAAAGCAAAAAAAAAAAAAAAAAAAAGCAGGGATTGCAATCCTAGTCTGATAAAACAGACTTTAAACCAACAAAGAGAAAAAAAGACAAGGAAAATACATAATGGTAAAGGGATCAACATAACAAGAAGAGCTAACTATAACTATACATGCACCCAATACAGGAATACCCAGATTCATAAAGCAAGTTCTTGCAAACCTACAAGGAGACATAGACTCCCACACAATAACAGTGGGAAACTTTAACACCCCACTGTCAATATAAGACATTTCAATGAGACAATATTAACAAAAATATTCAGGACTTGAACTCTGCTCTGGACCAAATGAACCTAATAGACATTTGCAGAACTCTCCACCCCAAATCAACAGAATATACATTCTTCCTAGTACTACATCACACTTATTTGAAAATTGACCATAAAATTGGAAGCAAAACACCCCTTAGCAAATTCAAAAGAATGGAAATGATAACAGTCTCTCAGACCACAATGCAATCAAATTAGAACTCAGGATTAAGAAACTCACTCAAAACTGCACAACTACATGGAAACTGAACAACCTGCTCCTGAATGACTACTAGGTAAATAATGAAATTAAGGCAGAAATAAATAAGTTCTTTGGAACCAATGAGAACAAAGACACAATGTACCAGAATTTCTGGGACACAGATAAAGCAGTGTTTAGAGGGAAATTTATAGCACTAAGTGCCTACAGGAGAAAGCAGGAAAGGTCTAAAATCAACACCCTAACATCACAATTAAAAGAACTAGAGAAGCAAGAGCAAATAAATTCAAGCACTAGCAGAAGACAAGAAATAACAAAGATCAGAGCAGAACTGAAGGAGACAGAGACACAAAAAACCCTTTTAAAAAAATCAATGAATACAGGAGCTTGTTTTTTTTTAAAAGACTAACAAAATAGATAGACTGCTAGACCGACTAATAATGAAGAAAAGAGGGAAAATAGACACAATAAAAAATGATAAAGGGGATATCACCACTGATCCCACAGAGATACAAACTACCATCAGAGAATACTATAAACACCTCTACGCAAATAAACTAGAAAATCTAGAAGAAATGGATACATTCCTGGACTTGTAAACCATCCCAAGACTAAACCAGGAAGAAGTTGAATCCCTGAATAGACCAATAACAAGTTCTGAAATTGAGGCAGTAATTAATAGCCTACCAACCAAAAGAGAAATCCCAGGACCAGACACATAGCCAAATTCTACCAGAGGTACAAAGAGAAGCGATTCCCATTCCTTATAAAACTATTCCAAACAATAGAAAATGAGGGAATTCTTCCTAACTCATTTTATGAGGCCAGCATCATCCTGACACCAAAACCTGACAGAGACACAAAAGCAACAAAAAATGGCACGCCAATATCCCTGGTGAACATCAATGCAAAAATCCTCAATAAAATACTGGCAAACTAAATCTAGTAGCACATCAGAAAGCGTATCCACCACGATCAAGTCAGCTTCATCCCTCGGATACAAGGCTGGTTCAACATATGCAAATCAATAAACATAATCCATCACATAAACAGAACCAATGACAAAAACCACAATTATCTCAATAGATGCAGAAAAGGCCTTCAATAAAATTCAACACCACTTTATGCTAAATATTCTCAATTAAGTAGGTATCGATGAAACGTATCTCAAAATAATAAAAGCTATTTATGACAAACCCACAGCCAATATCATACTGAATGGGCAAAAGCTGGAAGCATTCCCTTTGAAAACCAGTACAAGACAACGATGCCCTCTCTCACCACTTCTATTGAACATACTATTTGAAATTCTGGTCAGGGCAATCAGGCAAGAGAGAGAAATAGAGTGTATTCAAATAAGAAGAGAGGAAGTCAAATTGTCTCTGTTTGCAGATGACATGATTGTACATTTAGAAAACCCCATCGTTTCAGCCCCAAATGGATTTAAGCTGATAAACAACTTCAGCAAAGTCTGAGGATACAAAATCAATGTCCAAAGATCACAAGCACTCCTATACACCAGTAACAGATAAACAGAGAGCCATTGAGAGCCATCAAGAGTGACCTCCCATTCACAATTGCTGCAGAGAGGCTTAAATACCTAGGAATAGAACTTAGAAGGGATGTGAAGAACTCTTCAAGGAGAACTACAAACCACTGCTTAGGGAAATAAGAGAAGACACAAACAAATGGAAAAAATGCCATGCTCATGGATAGGAAGAATCAATATGAAAATGGCCATACTGCCCAAAGTATAGATTCATTGCTATTCTCATCAAGCTACCAGTTACTTTCTTCACAGAATTAGAAAGAACTACTTTAAATTTCATATGGAACCAAAGAGGCCATACTGCCAAGACAATACTAAGCAAAAAGAACAAAGCTGGAGGCATTATGCTACCTGACTTTGTACTATACAAGAATACAGTAACCAAAACAGCATGGTACTGGTATGAAAACAGATATACAGACCAATGGAACAGAACAGAGGCCTCAGAAATAATGCCACATATCTACAACCATCTGATCTTTGACAAATCTGACAAAAGCAATGGGGAAAGGATTCCCTATTTTATAAACGGTGTTGGGAAAATTGGCTGGCCATACGCAGAAAACAGAAACTGTACCCCTTCCTTACACCTTATACAAAAACTAACATCAGATGCATTAAAGATTTAAACATAAGACCTAAAACCATAAAAACCCTAGAAGAAAACATACGCAATACCATTCAGGACATAGGCATAGGCAAGGACTTCATGACTAAAACACCAAAGCCATGAGGAGAACATCACACACCAGGGCCTGTCCGGAGTTGGGGGCTAAAGGAGGGATAGCATTTGGAGAAATACCTAATGTAGATCATGGGCTGATGGGTGCAACAAACCACCATGGTACACGTATACCTATGTAACAAACCTGCACATTCTGCACATGTATCCCAGTCTTAAAGTATAATAAAAAAACTTACATTTTAGTTATTTCTTTACTAAAAAATTTCATATGAAACAAAAATAAGTAAACAAATGAAAATTACCTAGCTTTGGGTATTTCTTCATAGCAGTGTGAGAATGGACTAATACAGCAGTTAACTGTGCTTGCTAGTTTGAGTTCTGTTTACACCATTCTCCTCTGTTGGTAGTGTGTGTTTTCCTTCTTTTTTTGATGTTTTATTATTTTTATTTTAGCCATTCTGATATATATGTATTAATATATATTAATACATATATATGTTAATACATACATACATATATTAATACATATATATGCATTAATACATGTATTGATAAGTCATTGTGGTCTTAATTTGTAAATTTATAATGACTAATGATATTGAACATCTTTTTCTGTTTATAATTAAATACCATCTGTATTCCTTTTCACATATCATTAGCTCAATAGCAAAAAAGCAGAACAAAGTATGTTTTTTCACGTCTGTGTATGCTTTTCTTATATACCTGGAAACAGAAAATGCCTGTATAAAGATATATGATAATGAACATAATGGTATTCAGTTTATGTAATACCTTACAATCATCTAGACTCTTCAGGCAGTCCAAAAGGTTTTCAGGGTCTGAAAGGGGAAGTGGGGGCACATCCAAAAGAACCCCACACTGTAGGCTCTCAC